GCAGCCTGCTGCTGCAGCTGCTGCAGCTGCAGCAGCAGGTGCAGGTGCAGGTGCAGGTGCAGGTGCAGGTGCAGGTAGTGGTAGTGGTAGTGGTAGTGGTAGTGGTAGTGGTAGTGGTAGTGGCAGTTGTAGTGGAACTGGCAGTGCAAGTGGAAGTGGAAGTGGAAGTAGAAGAGTCAGCAGTCGTAGTAACAGTCAGCAGCTTCTTGATATGGACAAGTTCCCGAGCTTTCCTTCAAAGTTCAGGAATGCCAGCATGGTGGGCAAGGTCACCGAGCTCATCATGCAAGGGGAGCGTGAGTTCTGGACCGCTCGAAAGGGTTTGAGGTGAATGGTCTAGTTTGGGTTTTGCGAGTTTTACAATGTTTCAGCAAGTCGAGGGATGGGTCTCAAGTGTCTGTGCGTCCATCGGAAGGTACAGGGACACCGTACTTATTTGGCAAGCACTTTTGCATGACTGCAGGCCTTGATTTGCCTTGGTGCCCGTGGCTTTTACCGCAAAAACATGGACATGCACAACAGGTCAGCCATTAAGAACAACTACCTAAAGACTTCGCAGCGTGCATTCAAGAGCCTCAGCTTCCGGTCCTGTGGAAGGTCCGCATGATTGGTCCCGATTCGTGCGCTATCATCCACTATGCCTTTCCTTTTGTCGGAAGACCCCTAAAGGATGACATCATGTGTTGGTTTCCCGAGGCTGTTCGAGTTCTCACAGCTCCCGGACTCACTGAATGGAAACTCTACACCCGGACACTCTGCAGCGTCGTGGCAAGTAGCACAGGACACGATTTGGTGCCCTGAAGGACAGTGCATCCGAGCGACGATTGGTATCGCTGGGAAGCCGAGCTTCGCCCCTCGCAACTTGAAGCGAATTGGGCAGGAAACCCAGGTTTCGGGTTTTGGCGTTGTTACTGGGGTGTAGGGATGTTTAGGGCTTTGTCGACCACTGGCTGGCAACAGCTGCAGATGTAGATGCAAACTACGTCGCCGTCCAGAGTCGTCTAAATAAAGTCCACGAGACCAGCAAAGAAGTAAGTAGCTGCATACGGGTTGTTTGGAATGCTAGGCATAGCACGGATCGTCTCGCGAACTTGATCGAACATCGCAAGCAAAAATCAAGAGTCTCGACGGCCGTTCTTGGTATCATCCGAATCAAGCAGCCTACGAGCGAAAGCCCGAAGCTCTACCATCTCCGACGGGGGTCCCTGATGACTTTCCCTAGTGCTAAAAGCCCGGTTGCTTTTGTTTGGGTTTCTCTGAAGAGCATTTATAAGTATAGGGTAGCTTGCCATTTTGGTAACTGACTTCGAGGCTACAGCCCCATCCGAAAACACAAGACCCTAGACCTTCTGTACTCTTGGGGGTCTGGGGCCTTGAAGTAGGAGCTCGAGCTTTCAGGCAGGGGCCTTTCCAAGGGGCCCATTTGGTCTACTGGCTGCAATATCCGTGGCCTGACTGGAGATGACGGTTGCAGCTTGGGTTCCGTGCGCCCGAATGTTGGAGTGTTTGAGCTACCTGTCCTTCGGAGTGGAATGAATTATTCGGGCCTTCCGGGTCTTTCTGGACTGCCCTATAAGCCTCCCAAGCCTCCTCCAAAAAGCCCTGATCGTTACATGCACCGTGCAAGTCTTGCCATCTCGAATCAGTAAACCTCAGGCCTAAAGAGGGAATCTGTCCGAAACCGTGCAGGACGGTCTACCCATTCCAGCCGCCGAAGTTCGATTGGTCTGCGCACTTTGTTGGCTTTCCGGTCACCTGGGACGAGGTGGGGCGTCGCTAAATTCAATGGGTCATGTAGTCACAGGGCAGAACACTACTCAGGTACCACCGCGACAGCGAAACCAGCAGCAAAACAATACCCATCACCATCTTCACCACATTACCACTCCAACAACCGGCTTTGTGACATGGATAACACTTTTCTTGTAGACTCTGTCGATGTAGAGCATGGAGACAGGGAGCAAATAGGTGTTCTCCCAAGTAGTGCAGAAATCAGCCATCACATCGAACACAAACTCAAATTGTTAAATAACTCCGAACCTTCCCCTCCGGTGCAGATATCCAGCGTCCTCGAGAGGTTCTGAAGTTACGTGACATCATCCACTTGACCTGGTTACTCGTGCTAGCTGTTCGAAGTGCTTCAACGTGAATCTCGTAGTTGTTCTTTTCGGTGTCAGAAGTAAAATGGAAGACTCCTGCAAGGCCTTCGCAGCCTTCACCTTACACCTACATTGTGAAGTCTGTGGCGTTTCGGTCGGGTTCGGCTCGTTGCACGCCTGATCAAGTAAGATTCGTTTCAAAACCCCTCAACCGATTACGCGTGCTGAAACCCTAAACCGATGGAGGTTGAGGTGGGCTGGTGGATTTTCCTCATCCCGGCCAGCGCTCAAGATGGCCGACGCATGAAGGGAAGGGTCACGCAGAAGACCGGCCAGGACTAAGTCCATCCCAAAAATGCTCAACGTCGACTATTACAACAGGAGGTTTCATTCTAACATAGAACATGATTCGGCGTTAGACTTCGCGTCCTTGTGAAGTCTCCAGGAGCTGAAGGTTTGCTTCAGAGAAGGCGGAAGCGAGGACGAAGAGGAGCGGCCGGAAATGCCAGAGGAGTCGGTCGACAGAGACGCTCTCTTTGCAATTGTCTTTTCGGGTCTTTGTGATAGGGTTTTTCAGGCCTTCGCTGTTAGTTGTTTCGCCTAGAGTTTTGATGGGTGTGCTTAAGCAGAACCTCTCAAGTAGCCGGACCAGCATTGTCCATAGCGTCGTCGTATCTTCGTCGCATCAGAGGCAGTGGAAGTAAGTAGTGGTGGGAACAGTACATAGTCGACGGTGCCAGTGCACCTGGTGCAGGTGGTAGTCGCAGCAGGAGCTGTGTGGATAACCCGCTCGGCCAGAACAAGCTGTCATGCCAGACCCCGTCAAGTGCGTTTCTGTCTATAAGCCTTGCGTAATCCTGAAATGCATATTGAACCATATGCTAGGTCTGCTAGGTCTCTCAAAACTCAGGGACAGGTCAGGGCAACAACCGTTCTACTTCTTGTGCAAATCGGGGTGCTTCACTATCTGAAGCTCGTAGAAACAACACCCTGAAGTTGCCGAGCCCTGAATCGCTGGACCTTGAGCATGAAGCGGACCCTCATTAGAGGACGCTTCAGCAAACCCTCAAGATTTCCCGAAACCCGCACGAACCTCCTGAATTTCACGCCCTGAAGCCTGTCTCAGGAATGGTGGAACTGTCACGACGTGGTGCTGGGGTGCAGTGCGGAGGCCGTGGTTCACCATCCACTACTGAACGACTCTCGGCCACGAGGGTTCTGGGGATACTCCAGCGGTTTGGGGTGGGCAGGCACAGATTCAAGGGCTTTCAAAGGTTTGCGTTCGGGAGGGGGAAGATTTGAAACCGCTTAGCTGACATTTGATACACATTCGGCCTTGACGTGCGGTGATCCATCAAGAACTGCATGTGGGTTTGGTTTTTTTGGGGTACATAGCTCCTCGCATAGGCCCTTTGACAGAAGCCTCACGAGTCTAAGGGCAGAATTGAGATTTTTGCGAGTTGAAGTTTCAAGTTGTCCTTCGCGTGCAGCAACGGCAGGCGGACCATGAAGGTAAGCACGTGCGAACGCACGTTCGAATCGATACTGCCAATTGCCCCCAATCCTAGAAGAAAGACTTGAAGACACAGCAAAAACACCCAAACTCGAAGCGCCAGTAGCTGCTCGAAGACCACGCAGGGCCGCTAGCCACTACAACGGGCCAATCAGCCAGTCCTAGTCCTTGCAGGCTGGAGGCGGCGCCTGCGCTTGTGGCATCCGGGATGTTTGGAGTCCGAGCAACCTGCCTCTGTGACCCTTAATTAAGGTGTGCTGGTGCAAGTAGCTTCTTATGTGGGTTTGCGGTGGGCAGGACGTGTCTTCAGCCTGACAGGCTTGTCCGTACTCTCCAAGCCCCACAGAAGCCAGATCCAAAGCTCGTTATCCAGAGTGAGAAGGAAGGTTGTTGTTTGACATGATTTCCTGAAAATCCGAGGCAGGTCGTTCGCGCACTGTTTGGCGTTTATGCGCGTCGCCGTGGAGGACCCTCAGGCAGGCCAGAAGCCTGTGCCGCGAGACGGGACAGAAGTGCCCTGGCCGGACAGTGTCACGGGTCAACAGCTGCCGGTGCGTATAAGAAGCTATCACTTGCGGTGATAATGCATGATTCCAGATTCCTGGCCGGCGGGTGTGGCCTCAGCTTTGGAGTCCTCGTGGACTGAGATTACCCCGGTCCCGGTCCAAGTCGCAACCTCTCAACTCAATAAGACGCTTGAAATTTTACAGTGAATCGAACCATGCTTGCAAAGCCTAGGCCTATGTGTCCAAGCAGCTCACTACTGCATCGTTGCAAGCGCTTCCTGAAGTTTCCAGTGGAATCGAAGCAGAGGGCTTAATTGAAGCTGGCTTGACTGTACCGATGACGATGTCGCTTGATAATGCCGACCACTGCCAAGACTGCCCTGACTGTGATGGTACTGAGCATGACGACATCTGTTGTTGACGCCTGATGAAAGTGTTTTAACCTTGCTGCAATGGCATGCAATGGTTGGGGTTTCTGTATATTCTTTCTTTGCTCCATGAAGACACCTGGCAAAACCTGGTCCACGATTTTGAGACCCTCAGCCGATGTCAAATCTGAACATACTCTAGAACTAATCGCATAAGCCCTGTGTTCGCCGCCCTGCACCCAAAAGACGTAGCGGAGCAGGAGATGTGCTTCTGCGGCCTCGACGGCGATGTCACTCTGGAATACGAGCGCGATCCGACGGCCTGGCTTTCCAAGGTCGCGTGGGGAGAGCTCTACGAAAATATTACTACGACTACGAAACCGTAAGGGTTTAGGTGTAGCGTTTAGGATCTAGTTTAGGACTTCGATATCCTACCTGCAGAGACTCAATATAAGGCTGTACAGGTTTCGGGCTTGTCGAGATATTTTATCATGGTGCCGATGATATCATGAGCCGTGTCCAGGGCTTCTGAGACTGGTAATTCTTTGCCATTCGCTTTTACGAGTCGTTTCGCGTGCGTTTTCTGTTTGGTGGTGGTCATCTGCACCTAGCAGGCATGCTTTGCTTGGTCTGCCTCTTGTGATGTGTTGTTCCGGCTTTCTGTCTGGACGATCTCGCGGAAGCAGCCCCGCAATCAGCTTCGGCCCGTATGAGTTTGCAACACAACGGTTTACCGGGATGAAAATATGCGCTGACCAAGCCCAAGGCTATATATAGAAGGGAAATGCCAAAGGACGGCAGCTTGAAAAGAGCAAATCAGCTCAGAACGTTGAGCTGATACTTTCGTTGCCGCTTCTGATATGACATGTGCGAGTATTGGAACACATCTGCCCAGAAGCGCGCACAATTCCTACCCAAAAGTGTGGTTTCATCTTCGGAAAAGCTCAATTTGGACTCTGCCCCAAAAAATCTTCTAGATTTGTTCAACCTGAAAAGCTTCTTTCGATTGGGGGTGTAGAGCCGTTGCCATTTTATGTTTAGGGTTTGATCAAACGTTATCGTTCGGGCTGGAGGTTGGTTCAGGGCATTGGTTATGGGTTACACGGCTCAGGCTTTCGGGTTTCTGGTGCTGGTGTTGACTGAGGGCAAACTGCACAATTCCTGTAAAGGCGCGCCGCCTCTTTTTCCATGACCGTGGCGTCGCCCCTCTTTGCGTTGCTGCTGATGGCTTGGACACATGGCCCATGATCCGCGGAGACCTAAGGTTGTAAGCCTCCCGAAACGCAAGGCTCTGCGGTAAGTTTCGCTCGCGCTCTCTCAAGACCTCGTGATGATGATTGACGATGATGCTTGTGATCATGGTGATGATGAGGATGAGGATGATGATGATGAGGGCGATGATGATGACGATGATGGTGGTGATGGTGATGGTGACCATGACAATCTTGATTTTGATGTTGATGCTATTGATCCTGGGTTGACATATGCGAGTCTTCGGGCCCAGTACTTGCAGTCATCCGCCGCTTCCACTGCAACCCACGTGAAGAGCACGCATGCTCGAACCTCTGATGATGTCAACGTTCGCTGCTGTGCAGAGCGCCTGTGCTAGAACTCCGACTACATGTCATGTGATGACCTTGATGTTCGCATCACGCCCGCCGATTAGCTTGCCCGGCTAAATTTCTCAATGGTTTGTGAGCAGTTCTTGCTTCCTTGCCGCGAGCTCGGGGTGTTGTCAAAGAACGATGCGAATTCACTCTCTCCTCTTCCACGCCCTGCCAATATCCCGACATATTGCTTTGTGGGGTAGGGGGGTCTGTGTCACGGTATACCCTACCTTGGTGCCACTCGAGTCGCAGAATGTGTTTAAAGCCGGCCATCGCCACTTTGGTACTGTTGGAGTGAGGGTTTATGCTTCAGGATCCCATGGCGCTTGGGTGGGATATAACATGCACAGGGGCCAATCTGCTATCTGTGTTTCATCTTCCTTCGTCTCGCTGCTGTAATGTAAAGCACCCGAGCCTGGATCCTAGCTCACAGACCCACAGCGCGAGCCGTCCTCTTTTTCAATTCAACTCGGCGCATGGGGACTTTCTTTGCCAAGACCGAATAATCAAGGTCCCGCAACCAGAATACCCGGATCTCTTAAACCTCGCACACCTTGCCCGGCTTTGTCCGAGTGTCAAAACATCCTCGAAAAGTCAAATCCACACCCCCAATCCCTGATACTTTCTCTTGTTTCGTCTTCAAACTAGACGTTTAACTAAGTTGTCTGTAAGATGCTAGCGATGCGGCATGCGATTGGAAGATATCCCGTGCGGGTCATCCTGAATCCGCCAGTTCCGCCATCCCAAACCTCATAGAATCGGCCAGCGAAAGGGGCAACACCAGGTCTGTCACAAGGGTCACGAAGTGGGGGTTTCGCGCCAGGATGTAGCCCCGGCGTGCAAGGCTTGGCAAAGAGAAGGGGGTTGGGGTTGGGTTTAGGGAAGTGAGGGTTGCACTGCAATACTCATAACACAACTCACCAGGGCCGGACACAGGCAGCTTCGCAGCTTCGGTCGAGTAGGTGCCAATCGCTGCGAAAGTGCACAGCGCTTTGAGCCGCCAATGCTCACTAAACCGCGTGCGACCAAAACTCTCAAACCTCCCCCAACTTGAGACATGCTAACTTATAATCCATAAATGCCCTTTTCCCCCTACGACCCTAGTTCACATCCAAGGAGGGCAACTTGCTTCGGATCGTTTGCTCCAACCTGGCGGGGGAGGAGACCTTTACACCTGATCCGGAGTTCGACCGGAATCCTCTGTTTGCGGTATTGGAGTTATACGGTTCAAGGTTTCCCTAAGAAGCGGTTGGCCCGCGTTCGAGGCGCACCACGTTGCCATCACATGTCGCTGAATCCTGTTAGTGCATGACATGCCTGGGGAGAAGCAGCGCTCGAGGCGCCCAGCGGAAGGTGATGAACAACCGCCGTCACAACAAGCACTGAAGATAATGATGTGTTGGTGCACATTACTGCGGATCGTTGTAGCTTTCCCATGGGTCGTGGTGTTACCCCAGATGGTCAAAACCTACTGTATTAATTAAGACAAACTAGACGGCTATTCAATCAGGAGACATAGCAACAGGTGACACGGGATGGGGACAAACAGGGATCAAGATACCAGCATAAGAAGCGAGTGACAGAATTGACAAGAATTGAGAAGCAGGTAGAATCAATGCAGAAGCTTCCAGTATTGATTGGCCAATATCTAGCTTGTTGTGACAGGCCAGTTAGGCAGATACCCCAATTTGAAACAAACACAAGAGCCCCTAAAGTGTACTACAGGTTCACAAGTTTTTCGGTTCGTCCTTAGTTCCGTGAAATCTTGAGGAGGCAGCTCTTTTTCATAAGCTTGTCTTCTGAAAAGGAAAGTTTTTACGAGTGTATATAGAGCATTCGGGATAATGCCAGGAAAAGTAGAAGAGAAATTGGCTGATTTCGGATTATGCGGAAACCAGATGTGGTTGTGACGAGGACAATATGCTATCGTTGTAAGCCCGTTGCAGACAGCTGTTGTTTCAAGGGTTGCTATTGCATTGGTAAGCGCTCTTATTATTACGCTGATTTTTGCTTGACTTGTTCTCAATAGATAATTGCAGAGTATACAGTTAACGGAACGACACTTATTGTTACTTTATATGTATTCACAACGGAGGTCATGAGGTATTGCAGTATTTTTCAGATAGTGCAAAGGGTTGAGAATGTTGAAGGGAGCTAGTAAGAAGACATGCAATGCGTGTAGAGAAAATACGAAAAGGACCACAATGCCTCTCATCCTGCGCAAGTGTAGGAATGACGACAGTCTTGTTTGAACAGAATTAAATACGAGGTTGTTCCATGTCCTTAGTGCAACTACGTAATAGAAACACAAGCAAGCTCAACACAAAAAGTCTCAAACACACCAGTGCTTGTTACAACCAAACCATCCTGACTTTGGAAAGATGTTCCGAAAGCAGACAAGATCAACATACTTGAAGTACCTTTTTTTCCGGAATGTTAGCTTGTACAGTATGTGGGAAAGATCCTGTAACACACCAAAACAAACCACTGCATTTGAAGCCGGCAGCAGCATAGCTATAATGTATACCATACTTAAGCGGTTGCATATGATATTTACATTTGGCTTACAAAATGGTTGGAGACTCCAATAAGGTAAAGCGAGTATCACCCTTAACCGCAAACCCTAACCCAAGTTCTAAAAGGAGCCCCTCGCCATTTCTGAGCTGCGGCACCTAGGTAGGGCGTAAGTACTGGGTTCTAGAGTGTGACCAGGTATTGGACCATTTATTTTTGGGGCTGGGCATAGCCCAAACACGGCGAGCAAGGGGCTACTGTTTCAGCAGCCGCCCGAAGAAGCGTTGTTTCAAAAAAGGAGCTGCTCCAGATCCAAGCAGATGGAGAAAGCGCTTTTCGGCATCTGGATTCCTCAGCTGCAAAAACAAGGGAAGTGGCGTGTTTTGTGTTTTTGATCTTCGGGCAGAGGCGTCGCCGACTCGGATTGAAGGTGTGCGGGGTTCCGGGAAGGTTGGGCCTGGGTGTCCCCAGGTAAGTTTGGGCTGCTCGCAAGGATCCTAGGCTTGTGATATCTTGCAAGGATGCTCAAAACCTTCTACGACGCATGAATGATGAAGAAGCGGCACTCCCAAAGCCGAGGAGCGACAGATTCGCGAGCAGATTCCCAGAGCTCCGGGCTTAGATTTCGTTTTGCTTCGGCGTTTGGCCTTTGGTTCAAAGGCGGGCCGTACAAGGTTCACGCGGTCAGGCCGGAAGGAGTTCCAGCTGGAAATCCATCCCTGGCATTGTGCGTGTCAGACTCCGAGCCTCTAGAGCAGAGGGGACCTTTCAAAGCTTGAAAGCAAACTTACTTCCAACACAGGTCCCTCGAGTTTCAGCGACTCTTGGATTACCGGCATGAATACCACTAGCCGTTTTGTTTCTCAAACTCAAAGACTTGATCGGTCAGCTCACTGTACCTCAAAAGTCCAGACACACACACACGGGTCCACTTCTGAAATGATTCTCTAATCTGTGATCTCGTCATGTGCAGAAAAACATATTGAAGAACTGCAGCCCAAGACCCGGAGATGCCGAGGATACACACATTCCCAGAAGAAAGGACCTTTGCAACGTAGGTACTTTAAATACAGTATCATCGATCGAAGCCCAAAGCCCTGAACTCTTTGCATGTCTTCCGGGTCGGGGGGGAATCTGGGAATGCTGAGAAGCTGCCAGTTAGATCTTTTTGCGGCCACGCACAGGTAGAGGGCATTTCTGCCTGGAAGATCGTGTTGCCTGACGGGCGCTGCGCCGACGATGTTCCAACCGATGCAACAGTGAGAGAAGGTTTCAGGCGATAAGCTGATCCATCGATTTAGGGCATGCATGCTTTTATGCTGACTTAGAGTAGAATATGCTACCTCAATGAGAGACATGGCAATTTCGTGTCATTAGCATGTACTGAATATTTGACGGAATCTGCAGTGGTCGGCGCCGAAGGTAGCTACAGAGGGTTTTGGGTTTGTGTGGTGCGTCCGTGCAAGCGCCTGCACCTTGAACTTTTAGCCTATATACCCTTCTCGCACCCCATATGCTGAAGCCACTCGACCGAAGGTTGGAGATTGCTTTCATGTAGGCTTTGTCCGACACTGTGCAGCACGACGGTCCTGCCAATGAAAACAGAGACGGGGGGTTGGGTTTGACAGGCTTCCTTGAGACTGGGGCCCTACAGGGCCCCAATAAGCGAGCACCAGCACCGCCTTACTCCGCCGATAGACCTCCGAAGCTACACCATGACAGCAGCTGAATGAGCACCCCAGAGGCCGTATAGGCATATAGGAGTTACTAGCAAGGGTTGCCATAGGTACAGTTGCCAGCGTTTACAGATGAGCATCAAGAGCAGTCCGATCGATATTCGCATGTTCATTTTGATGTACGTGCTGCCTTATAAACTGCATCATGAAGAACAGCGGGCGTGCAAGTGGGGGCCACATAGATATGCCTCGGCAGTTTAGCCTGGAGCTACAAGATATACACCCTGAGCCCACGTCTTTCAGCAATGAAATCGTTAACAAAGCAAACTACCCAGAGCCAGAGCCCCAAAGCGAGGCCCCAAAGCCCAAAGCCCTGCTGTGGGATCATTATACTACAACTATAGTAAGTAACCCAGAATAGTATAGGAAAATGTTTAGGCCCTCAGAGAGCCCAGAGAGCTCAGCTCAGCCAGGGCCTCGAGCTCTGCGATGAGTTCTGGGAGCCTCCCGAGGGCGACTTGAGCATGATGATCGAGGCAGTGGGATTGAAATAAAGGGTTTAATAGTTTATCGGGTTTCTAACAGTTCTAAGGGTTGGCTCATGGTTCTTATGGGTTTGATGGCTTTGAAGTTAAGCATCTCCGCTGCTTGAGAGCTTCCGCAAGAGCGAGGTACCGCTTTCTTCCTGGATGTGCTAAAGTTCAGGAGTTTCGGGATCCTTGATTTACGACTGTGTTTGACTGCGTAACTCATTCCACATGCTGAGTCCTAGTCGGGGTTTCCCTTCGAAATATGAGCGTTCCACGTTATGAACGGGCCTGAATTCTTGCCAGCAGTGAATTCTTTTGGGTCTATGCCAGGGTCTCTTGCTAAGTGAAAAAACTTCCCTAGCGCTAGCACAACATGGCGGATTTGGGATTTGGGCTCTTGGCCTCATTCCATGCCCAGCGCACGCTCGGGCTCAGAGTTTCGAAGCGCTGCATTACCCGAAAAGTACAGCCCTCTTCAACCTTTATTGATTCAGGCGCTGCATCGGAATATGTGTTCCGTTTCCAAAGCTTTTCGACTTTCATAGAAAACCTTAGGCCAGCGTCTCATCAACACCAAGGAATCAACGGATGAACCGAGCGATGTGCGGTTGCACGGTCCGTGTGAAAGCCACTCTACAAGCAGAGTATCTGGTAGCGATAGCAACCGAAACTATCTGGGCGGATCAGGTTGACACCGGCAAAGGCAAGGGGGGCAAGGCAAACGATGGCGGCGGTGTGGGCAAAGGCAAAGGGAAGCTGCCACCAGGACTGGGTTGCTCTGACTAGTGTCGTCAGCCCCCTGTAAAGGCTGCAATTGATGGCTGAGATGCAGTGATACGTAGCACTCTCGGTACAGGTACGAGTAGGATTCGTGCTATTGTCTGCTGACCAGGGGAAGCAACCCTGCACCCCTCTAAACAGCACAGCCTCTGAACTCTTAGCTACATGCTGTACGCCATAAGCTCTGAACGGTCGCCGGTGGCGGAAAACAACCACACTTAGCCCCGGAAGCTTTGCGGCCTTGAGCTTCCCTTCACACCTCCCGTGCACAAACTGGAGTGCTTATTTCTTCGAAGAACACGTGGTCTCAGTTCCTAGCTTGACAGTTCAGGTTACAGGTTCAGCCTCAATCGAGTGGTTGATGGTCTAGACGGGGGAGATGATGCTTGACGCCTGAGACACCAATTAAGGAGACCAAGACCCGTACGAAGGATGATCTTGGGTTCAGGGGCTGTGAAGCAGTCCATGTGGATTTGTCGGTGCACATTATTTTGCAGGGTCCAGGTGGTTCTGAAATTCCATGATCAGCGCATATTAGGCTTTGTCACAGGCATTTCAATTCAACATCCTCGCTTGCTTGTCGAGTTGATGCACGTCGCAAGGAAAAATCTCTGGACCAGGGTCGAACAGCCAGCCGGAATCGACCGGCGAGGCATGTTGAGGGGTGAAGATGAATCTTCAGCCTTGCTTTTCATATCGGAGCGGCACTAGGAAAGGGTTGCGGGAAACTCCCAGTAAAGCTTACAGCGGCGGCAGCCGGCCATGGCGCATCAGTCTCAGAGGTGGCATAAAGCCGAATCCACAAAGGTACTTGCCAGCTTTCAAACCCTCCAGCAACCCTCCAACCCTCCCTCCAACCTAACCCTCTAGTCTCTTCCAGCTTCTGCTCTCCAGTTGTGCAGGTTGCCCTCCAGCCCTACAGTCTTCAACCCTGCAGCTCCATCCCATCAGCTGCCCTTTCGTAGGGAGGGTGGGCGGCTGTGACGGCGTTGGGGGGGTTGAAGGTGGGTTGTAGTGCGGCTCAGGCGTAGTGGACCACTACTAGTGGTGGTGGGTTGGCGCGGTTCGAGTTGTTTCCAAGCGATTGAATTTAAGTAACGGGCGGCCAACATCACTGAATTGACGGAGGTGGTGCACAGGACCTGTTCTACTTGTTTACAGATCCGGCTGTTTGAGATTGAGTAGCTACTCTATCTCCGGGCCTGGAAACTTTCGTTGGCATAAGCACATGAGCCTCCGCCTTCCTGCTAGCCCGACCTACTCATTTTCTTTTGCCCCGGACATGCTCGAGCCAAAATGCACCAACCCAAGCCTTTGACGTTCTTCCATGTTTCTCATGGGGTGCAGGCGGAGGATAGGAAGCTATTCACACTCCCCTGTGGGTCCCAAAGCTTGCTTCGTCTCGCAGTTCGCAACCGGTGTGGTGAAGTCCTTCAACGTCGTCCCGGCCTCAGACTACCAATGCAGCCTTCGCAGCGTAAAATCATGAGTGCAGCCGCAGCTGCAGTTGCAGCCGCAGCGGGGCAATAATAGTAAGCGCAATGGGAAGAGCAAGCTGAGTTTTTTTTCAGTGCCAACCATTGCCATCACCATCTACGCCGTCACAAGTATCTGCGTCGCTCTCACCGAAGTCGTCATCATCATCATCATCATCATCAGCTTCACCACCGGGACCCTCACAAGCAGCATCTACTGCTGCAGGCAGCATCATCATCACATCATCAGCATCATCATCATCATTACCAGCACCACTACAGTCGCCAAGTCACCGGCCACCACCTCCATAGGCTGTCTCTTCTTGCCTGCCATGTCGTCGTCATCAGTAGCATCGTCTCCAACAATAGCCGGTCCGTCGTTGGAATCATCTCACACACATGGCCATTTATGAGAACGATGCAACAAGTCCAATCGCCATCAGCGCATGTCACCACCGCCGTTTCGGTTTGGTGATCCGAGTTGCAATGGTGCTGTTGCGATGTTTGCTCTGACCATCTTTACAGAGACCACCAATATTCGTGCCATCCATCCGCATACAGACAGATTCATCTGGAGATATTAGCATAAACAGTCATTTCACTAGCTAAGTACTAAACTGAGAATCGATTGGTTGTTTGATTGATTGGCTCGTAGGTAGTTCACTAGCTGCTTGGCTTAAGCAGCCAACTAACTAGCTAATGAGCTAACTGGCTATCTAGCTAACCTAAACCTAATCTAAAGCTAGAAAACCTAGCCGAGCCAAGGTAAGGTAATGTAGGCTAACTAAGCCAAGCTAACTAAAGTACTGAACTAACGAAGCTAGCTACACCCACTAAACTACGCACCTGCTAGCTAGATAGCCAGTTAACTATCAAAATACTATCCTATATAGTCGTCATACGCCGACGACCCCGAAAGTCCAGCCTCGTACTGCAGCCCCGAAACAGCTATAGATGCAACTGCCGGTTTGTGTACGGTCTCGTTCTTCTCATTTTCTTCTCGTCAGGTTTGCCGATTTAGTGCGTTTGCCCAGCTTGATGCAGCACAGAGCAAATGCAGCCAAGCCACAGACTCAACGAATTGCTTTTGCACACAGGCAACCAACTATGGCTTCATCACGTCCCCGGAGAGCCTTGGTTGCAGAAAAGCAAGCCGCCCCTTGACCTCGAGGGGCTTTCTGTTCCCGAGACCAAGACTCCCGTACCCTGTACCTCAAGGCCTTGCTTGACACAGAAGACCTTCCTCATGCAAGGATAGGGGTGCAGGTTTTAGGCTGGGTGTGCTGCACGGCAGCTTCCATGTTGGATCAACGGGCTTGGGCTTGGGTCAAAAGTAGGACCCTTTCAACCCCACGGAAATGTATGACTGGCCTCCGGTCCTCTCTTCTCCGACCTCCCCAAACGGTGGGGCAACTCAGAGCCCCATGCCTCTATTTGTACACGGTCGGTCGCCCGGAGATATATCTACTTATAAGAAGATAGCAGCCGAATTATCTTCCGAAATTATGTCTGTTATCTTCTAAAACTATCGTCGTTATCTTTTACTATCTTTTTTATCTTCATTTTATCTTTTCCTATCTTTTTTGGGGCATTTTGCAATAATATTTGGTTATACCATTCGCAGCGATATGTCACCGCCGCCGATGGATTGAAAGCCATGTGATGCCGGTTTTTGGTGTGGTTATCAGCGGTTATCAGCGACTTGAATTTGAAACCGCCGTTCTTTGCTGTGGTTTGCAGCGACTTGAAACCGCCGTTCTTGGGATCGGGGGAAATCAGAGGTCAAAAGCATTGGCCTTGACTTATTTTTCTCACGGCACCGCTCGCACCACATCCTCGTTCTCGCAAAGCCACCAGGAGGCGTGTCGCGTACGGCGCAAATCATGCAAGTGACGCACAGTGGATGTGCGGCGAAACAGAGTACTGAAGACTGCTGTTGTCGCCGGCCGATACTGCCTGAGCAAGAGGACAGGCCTGTCCGCGGAATCCTTCAAGCACCGCAGAATTTGTCCTGGGACAGGCTCCAAGAGGAAGTCGCCTTGCGTCCAGTGGCGGCCATGCAGCCTCACAGCTCGATAGCTCAGTCCAGGTCCAGTGCAGCGAGTAGGTTTCCCTATGAAAACCTCGGCCTGGTCGGCATAGAAGGTTCGCACCTGTTCGTGAGAGGAGATGAGCAGCCTTAGTGCAATTGCCTCCGACCAAGAAGCATGATGCGTGACCGCGTCGTAATTTCTCTCTGTGATAGCTTTATAGAGCTGATGTTTGGTCTCGCATGGACCGGTATCGATGTAGGCCTGCCAGTTTTGCACCTGTTCGGCTGCGTGGAAGCGCCAGTGGTGTTTGGGTTTCAGGATTTTTTCGCCGTAAGCTTGGACACAAAGAACGTGGTGCTCGCTCTGAAGCCTCTGTAAAGATTGTGTGGACTCAACGTCATCCAAAGCCTTGAGCCTTCCCAGCTCTCGCTGAATCTGGAACAGCTTGTGGTAACTGCTCATTTCCGGCCGCAAAACATTTTCTGTGTCCAACATCTCCAGCAAGCAGCCCAGCAGTGGCAGGAGCTGCTGGAGGTCGGAGGCCTTGGATTTGTAGCCAAGTTCCATGAAGCGACTGGAGTCAAAGAGACGGGCTCGGTTTGCCGGTCCTGCGAAGTTCTTGATGTGTCCGGGGACTCGCCAGGCATGCTCTCGCAGCAGGTCCGCCAGGTCCTCGTGGCTCACGTTCAGAGCTGCGGCTGCTCGCTGCACAATGAAAGAGACCTCCAGACTGGCCACTCCACCCTTGGTAAAATAGATGTGGAGGAAGTCATACATGAAGACACTTGGTGGCAGCTGAAGCCGAGCCCAAGAGTCTTGGAGCAAGCTCTCCTCATTGTAAACAATGCCGGCCAGAGTTTCTTCCTCCTTGAATGCGGCCGCGGAGAGGACCGTCTTTCGTCGCCGCTGCTCATCGCAGAACTGAAAAATCTCTTCGTCCGTCATGCGATCCCATGAACCTGGAAGAGAAGAGATGTCCTGAAGATAGCCCTGCAAGGACCCTGTCATGTCATGGTTCTTTTTGATGACGTTCTTGCAGATGTGACAGGGTTTGAGCCCTGCTGCGCCCTTGCAACTCAGCGACTGTCTGAGGGCTTCGCCATCTGCTATCACTGCTGCGATGCGCACTCTCAAGACGAAGGGTGTGTGGCCTGTAGTCTCAACCCAAAAGCCAGCCATGAGTTGCTCTGCGGGATTCGTGCGCAAAAAGTAGCGGAGGACGATGCCGAGGTTGCCATGGAGGTGGTGCTTCATTATGTCAGCTCTCACGACACTGACAGGCCACCACAAAGCAGGACTTTGCACCCCAACCTCCTTGCAAGCGATGTAGAGCATGCAGGCTTTCTTGGCGGGATCGGGCGCTAGAACGTTCCCTGCAGTAGCCTCGTCGAATGACAGTACCAGGCTCAGAGGCTTGTGCGCTGCCTCAACAGTTGCTTTATGGAAAGCCTCAAAAAGCGCCGGTGTCCGGGCACAGAGAAGTGTCAGCAATGCAGGCAGCTTGGCTACGGCTATGCCTGCATTCTCGCCCATGTGCAAGAAACTCCATGCTTCTCGCTTCCCACCGAGTTCGTGAGCAGCCCTCTTCACTTTTTCCACACGGCATCCAAGCTTTTCTGCAGCTTCCTGATAAGAAGTACCAGGTCGCGACAAGGCCGTGCTAACATCTTCCCGGAACCCTTCTGCTGGGCATGCTTTCCTTTTCTTCGCCATGAATGCTTCTAATATATGAAAGCGTTCAAATGCTTCATCTAAATATATAGATATGCATGGGGTTTCACATACATTTCAATGTACATATATATATATATACACATGTAGTATACATACATATATATATATATATACATAGAGCAGTTTGCTCCTTGGCGCTGCTTGAAGCTGTATACATGGCATCGGATCATAGATGTCATCAATGCAAGGACAACTGTATATATAGCGACCTAAAGAGCCGGTGAAAGCATCGGTGCATGTTATTTTCTTTTCGCACAGCGAGCCCGGAGGCCCGCCGTCGCAACACTACAAAGCGAACATGCAGCGAGCCCGGAGGCCCGCCGTCGAAACACTGCAAAGCGAACACGCAGCGAGCTCAGAGGCCCGCCGTCGAAACACTGCAAAGCGAACATGCAGCGAGCTCAGAGGCCCGCCGTCGCAAACATGGCGACCAGAAGCCGAGACACCCTTCTTGCTGTTATCTGCAGCGACCCAAAGAGCCGCCGAATGAATTGTAAATCTCCTTGGAACAAGAAGCCTCGCCCAAAGAAGTGGTTCTCGTGCAGCGAGGCGAGCCTCTCGCCGTTGCCAAAGAAAACAGCGACTCAAAGAGCCGCCGAAAGAAGCTATATTGACCCGCCTTTGCCACTCAGAACAGCGACTCAAAGAGCCGCCTCAACAAGTGCTTGTCCTATTATACAGCGACGCCATAGAGGCCCGCCGTTGCCACTGAAGACAGCGACTCAAAGAGCCGCCGAAAGAAGTGCCACTCGCAAACGTTCTTTTATGCACCCCTCAATCAGCATGAGGGTCGTCACGACAAACCCGGCTTTGCGGGTGGTACAAGGACCTGGCAAGGTCCCGGCACACGTAGTCCGCGTCCCCCGCGAGGCGTTGTGCCGTGACCAAAACCCGCCGCAGCGAGAGCAGCTTTGCCTCGAGCTCTGCGCTTTTCGGCGCACGCGAAGCAGCAGTTGTCGTCTCTGGTGCTGCTGCTGGAGGTCGCGAAGACGACGAAGGCTCACCTGGCGGACGAAGCGGTGCTCCTGGACGTCCTTGCTGAGCTGCCGGTCCTGCAGGAGGTTCTTGCTGAGGTGGCAGTCCAGGAGGCAGAGGTGGAAAGAGTGCCCGAGGAGGTCCTTGCGGAGGTGGCGGGGGACCGCTTGGCGGCCTCGGCCGGAGCGGCGGCACCACCACCCGTGCTTGCGGTGGCCTCACCGCCGGCGCCGCCTTTTCGACTCGCCAGGGAGGCTTTGGCACGGTCTGCTCTGTCGCCGGTGCGACCGGCTCCGCCTTCTTCGCCTCTGCCGGCTTTGCCACGGGCGGCTCTGCAGCCGCGGCCGGCTCTGGCGGCGCCTCCCTTTTGGCCTCCGTCTTCTGCTTGCTGTCCTTGCCTGCAACCTGCTCCCTTGGCGGGCTCCGCCTTTGCAGCCTTGCCGGGCTCCGCCTTTGCAGCCTTGGTGGCCTTCGCCTCCTTCACCTTGCCACCACGCTTCGCCGGGGCCTTTGCCTTGGGGATTGAACCCCGTCCACTCGCCAGCTCCGCCTCGCCCTTGGCCTGGCCAGTCGAAGAAGCCGCTTCGGCAGGACTTTCCTCGTGCAGGGTCATTATATTGTTTATGTCTTTATAATATGCATACATATATATATATATATCACCTCAGCGACCCAAAAGGGCCGCCTAGCGACACGACTCTATACAGCGACCCAAAAGGGCCGCCTTGCAACAGGACTTTCTGTCCCGCCCGCCTCCTCGAACTCCGGTTCCTCCGCGAACGGGTCGTAGTCCTTGTCCTCCGCCTCCAGCTTCGCCAAGGCGCCCAGACCCTTGCCCTTAGGGTCGGTCTTCCGCCTCTTCCCAGGCGGACTGTCCGCACTACTCGACATGGCTGGAGCCAAGTGTCTGCGAATAGACCAGACATCTGCACTGGCTCTTTCCAAGCGATGAAAGTCACCGCCTCCATATACAGCGACCAAAGTGGCCGCCGGCTGCTTGGCATGTGTGTATAAATATATACACACACATATATATATATATATGTGTGTGTGTGAGATGCATATATATATATATATGTATATATATGTATATATATGTATATATATGTATATATATGCCTGCAAGCGAGACCATATAGTGGCCGCCGGTTGGGCGAGGCAGGTAGCAGACCCAGAGGGCCGCCTCTTCTGAAACCCCTGCAGTAGACCCCGTTGTTTTTTTGCTCCAGGCTGGCTCAGACTTCCGTCGTCCACTTGTACTTGAAGTTCTTGTTCTTCCTTGCAGGCTTCGTGACCTCCGCGAACTTCTTCTTCTTCTTCGCAGCTCTCTGGGCCGCCGCCGCGAGCTTCCTGTGCCTTGCCGTTGTGCAGCCTCGCCGCTCGCCCTCGAAGACCTCTGTAGAAGCCGCCGGCTTGCCAGGCAACTCTTCAGTCTCCGCCAGCAAGGAGTCGGACTCCGGAACGCTCAGCGGCAGCTCCTCCCTCGCAGTCGCCAGTAGCCCAGCTGCTACGGCAGCATTGCTCTGCACGGCCAGGGCTGCTTTGATCGACATCGTGTCCATGATTTTCTTGGAGCCTTGCCAAAGCCGAACGACGCGGCCTTCCTTCATCAACCGAGCATGCATTCGCTTCCGCATGCCTGCGACTCGGATCATCTTGAACCAAACCAGCTCCCAGCACCGGCAGCTTCCAGAACACTGTCCCTCCTTTGCAACTTGCACGCAGCGACCCAGGGGGGCCGCCATATATGTATATGTATATGTATACATATATACATATATACATATATATATATATATATACATACATACATATGTGCAGCGACCAAAGAAAGACCGCCGTCGTATACATGTCCACCATTCAATTCTACATGCAAACACAACAGCGACCCACAGGATCGCGACCCGAGGGGACCGCAATCAATCACAGGTGTGAGGTCGCGAAATCCTTTTTTCTTTCTGGAACGTGCACCAGTTCGTGTCAAAGGAACACGCGCCGGAGCTACTGGTGCTAGCCCTGCTCGTGCCGCAAGCCACTATCAGGATGCAACCTTCTCTGAGATGGCGGTTACCATATAAACCAGAAACCCTATGTATATATGTATATAAACCTATATAGATATATAGTCGGCTCGCTAAACCCTATATAAACGCTATAAATATATAGGCTCGCATCCACGACAGAGGCTCGTGCAGCAGGGGTCTGTGCTCGTGGTCCTCGCAAAGGAGGTAAGAAGCTTGTGGGCCTCGCTGAGGAGGTAGAAAGCTTGTGGGCCTCGCACAGGAGGTAGAAAACTCGGACCTCGCCGGCCTCGCTATTGGAGGCAGGAAAAGAACTTGTCCAGACTCAGTCCGTGCCCGTCTCGTCCGGCTTCTCGTCCGGCTTCTCTGCAGCCTTCTTGGCAGAAGCCTTCCTAGCAGCCTTCTTAGGCTTTGCCGCAAGCAGGCTGTTCTTCAGCAGAGTGGCCTCGGTCGAGACGTGGAGAGCCTCGAAGCTGAGACTCGCACCCACCGTGGCTTGGGCCAGGAAGCTTTGAGCCTCCTGCAGGAGCTGGGGGGCCTTGCTGCCGTTGCGGACTTCCTCGGAGACCTTGCCAAGCAGGGGCAGAAGCTCGGCCACAGCCTTGGAAGCCGCCGCCGTGTTCTTCTTGAAGTCCTTCTGCAGCTGCTTGTTCTTCGCGGCTTCCTGCTTCAGGCGCTCCCGCCTTTCTTTCTTGCTCTCCGCCTCGGTGTTGTCCTCCTCTTCGGCGTCCGAGAGCAAATCTAAGTCCTCCTCGGTCTCTGGGCCCACTGCCGCCGGGGCCCCAGCTGCTTCTCCTGCAGCAGCAGCTTTGAGAACTTTGGCCCCTCGCTTTGCCCTGAGGTTGACCGTGCTCGTCTCCTTCCGCTTCAGGGTGGTTGTCTCTGCCTTCTTCTCGGAGAGGACCTCCATCTTGTACACGGGACCCAGAGTGGGATGATCCATATACACGCCTGCCGACTTGACAAGCTCTGGATCCCATCCACGCATCACCTGCACAGACAGAGGGAGAAACTCGCCTCCTTCGCTGCTCTCCTTTGACCTCTCCGTGGACTTCTCCAGGGTCTGGACGACGGCCGTGCTCACTTTTTCGTGAACAAGCCTTCCTGTCTTTTGGTCCGTGTAGTCCTTGCAGTTCCTGTAGAATTGAACCAAGTCCTGGCCGCTCAACCCGCTAAAGCCTTCCGGGACTTGAAGGTTTCCGAGGAACGTGGAGAGGCGGTTGCAGGCTCTGCACAGCACGTAGTTCTTGCTCTTGCGGACCAGCAACTTCTCCGGGAACTTCACCTGGCACTTAGAGCACGTCACCAGCTCGCCCTCGGACTCGACCACTTGAGTCTCCACCTCGTCCATGGCTGAAGCCAAAAGAGCCAGGGCCAAGGAAGCTGCTTGGACTCAAAACTGCTCCCGGCGGGGCCCGAATTTGATTCTGGATGGACTCAAAACTGCTCCCGGCGGGGCCCGAATCTGATTCTGGATTATTCTAGTGTGTTCTAGTGTGGGCCACCCTGGGGCCCTCAGCCTGGGTCCAGTTATAATAGGAACATATTAGCACTAGAATTACTGGGACCACCCCGGATTCTGGATTATTCTAGTGTGTTCTAGTGTGGGCCACCTGGGGGCCCTCTGGGACGGGGAGGGCCGGGCTCTGGGCCCAATTTACAAGGGGAATTGCAGGGAGGGCCGGGCTCTAGGCCCAATTTAGAAGGCCCCAAGATGCAGTCCTCCCTCTAATGCTTGGCCAGTTCTTGTATAGGATGTTGTACAAGGGAGGGCACTTCGATATAACGACTCATCTATATACATATAAATATAGATGTAAATATAAATATAAAAATACATAAATATATATATATATATATATATATATATATATGAGTGTGTGTGTGTGTGTGTCTGTGTCTGTGTGTGTGTGTGTGTGGCGACACCCATGGTCCGCCTTCAGACGATGCGGAAAGATCTTGGCCCTCGAAGCAGAAACTCTTTTTCTCATTGTGCCTCTTGCTGCCCTTCTTCTTCTGGAAGATTTCTTTCGGATGCGTCTTTTAGACTGCATCGTCCGCAGGGCTCGTGTCTATCCGTGCAGACACACAGGTCAAGGGTGACATTCACTTGTGAGACTGCAGCCCTCACAAAGGTGAAGGGTGACGGCAACAAGCCTTGTGGCAGTCACCCGTCACCTCTGCGAGGGCTGCAGCACTGACAGCTAAAAGGAAGTCCTGCCCCCGAGCTCTTGGGAGCCCCTGCAGTGGCGATGAGGCTTCACCAAGAAGTCGCGGAGGTCCGCCTTCTTCTGAGCTCCGCAAGAACTGGATTGCCGTCTGCATGGCAGCGGTGTATATATATATATATATATATATAAAGAAACTCGAGCCAGCATGTGCTGCAAACGACCACTGTTCTCCCTGGCTTCCGTCTCATGACAAAGTGTATAGCGAACCAAAGGCCCGCCTCCATTTCATATAGCGAGGAAGAGGCCCGCCTTGTTTCGCGTTATTGCATGCGAGCGACACACACATATATATATATATATATATATATGCATAATATATTTTTATACATGACATTATATATGATACACACACACACATATATATATATATATATGAAGGCCTTGAAAAGCAGCCCCCGGTTTAGGGTTGTACATGTAGATAAAGGTTTAGGGTTATACGGTATTTGTTCAGCGACACCCAGGGGCCGCCTGCAGTGGATACGGCAAACTCCCGGCCTCCCGAAGCAGATAGCCTTTTTTTCACTTCTTGTGCCTCTTGCCGCCCTTCTTCTTCTTCTTTTTGAAGACCTCCCTCTCGATCTGCCTCTTTGAGACCATCGATCTGAGGGATTCCACTGTCTTCGGGTTCACCTTCTGCTCCTGAGCGCTCGGGAGCCCCAGCGAGGCCAGCGGCGGCGGCGGAGGCTTCTTCAAGAAGTCACTGAAGACCGCCGTCTCCCATCTCCGCAAGAACTGGACAGCAGTCTGCATGGCAGGCACCGAGGCAGGAAGCTCGGGCCAAGGCTGCACATGACAGCAAATCTCCGTGTCCGCCTATATAAATATAGCGAACCAGAGGCCCGCCTGCATCTTAACCAGACGTGTCCGCCTATATAAATATAGCGAACCAGAGGCCCGCCGACCCGCTTCAAAATTTTGCATGCGAGCGAAATATATACCGCCCAGGTAGACCCTAAACCCTGTAATAGACACCCTATAGACCCTAAACCGGAAACATATACTATACAATACCTCATATATATATATATATATGTATATATATAGATATATGATGATATAATTCTATATATATATATATGTATATATATATATATATGGCCTATATGACACATGACAGCTTTTCTGCATGGCTCAGAGGCCACATCTTCCTGCCTTGCAAATCAGCCCCGCCTCCAGCGACCCAGAGAGCCGCCTATGCAGATCGGCCAGCGACCCCGAGAGCCGCCTACGCTGATGTATAGAATGACAAATAAATGAAGAAATATATATATATATATATGTATATCTCTATATATATCTACATAAGCGGCCCACAGAGCCGCCTCGGCTTACAGTACAAGCATACATGTGTTCAGGGTTTAGGGTTGAGGGTCTGGGCTTTATAAGGCTTAGGGCTTATACGGTTGTATATATATATATATACATATATACATATATATATATATAGATGTATCTGTGTTTGTATATATGTATATAGACATATATACTCATCTTGCTATTGAAACCTGTATTCAGTTCTTGTGTACTCTCACTGCTTTCTCTTTTCTCAGCAGCTGAAGTGCACAGATCCTTGATTCGCTCGGTCAGTCATGGAATGGAGCAGCGACTTCTGCGAGCCCTGCATCCTTCGACGTCTGCCCACTGCCACTGCTTCTGCTGTGCGACCCCGCAGTACTCGGCTGCACATGCGACTTGCCCAAGCCATCGATCAACTGCTTGCACAGCTCTTTGCGGTTCTCCAGGGACCAGTGCTTCTTCAAGATCTCCGCCAGCTCGGAAGGGCTGCATTCGGCAATGATGCTGTCGTGAGCAGGATCCATGGTGCTAACTTGTCGAGATTCAGTAGATTCAGTCTGCTTTGAACCAAAAACCTATAAGAAGAAGACCTTGTGGGGATGTCTGTCTCAGCATGCTGCAGCGACCCAGCAGAGCCGCCAAGAAGCCAGCGACATCTGACTGATATATAAAATCGTATACATATTTCTATATCGCATATATACATATAGAGGCGGGAACTATGTGTGCACACCCATATATATATATACAGATATATATATATATATGTATATATATGTCATGTATGTGCTGCACCCAAGGGCCGCCATTGAATAGGTTCCATATGTATGCTTGTATGTATATATAGGTTAAGACTTGTGTATATAGTGTATATATATATATATATATCGCAAAGACACCCATGCTGTGCGAGAGGGCCTCAAGGAGATGGGCTGCACTGAAAAGTCGCGAACACCCCGCAAGCAGCACCCTTTTTCGAAGCCACCCGCTACACGTCGTGGCTCTCGACCTCGGGAAGAATCCGAGCGCGACGGGCCGCTGCCTTCAACCCCTCTGAGACGCCCAGACGAAACATCTCTTGTTCCCGGGCTGTCAGTGAAAACCACCAGTAAAAGGCCACTCGGATCTCCACGTAGTCGATGAGCAGGATCCAGCTCCTCACCTCTGCACTGCCACTACTTCCCGCCTCACCAGGCGTCGGTGGAGGTGGCACCTCCTCCATCTCGCTGCAGCAGCCGAGCACACCAACCCACAGAGGAAGCTGCAAGCCGAGCTTGAGAGAGAAATCACAAGGCGGTCTTCCTTGCACGAAAAAGAAGTGACCAAGGTGGCCGCCTCTTCCTCAGCGACCCGAGTCCATGTGCATGTATTCGCATGCTAGTTGCAAATGCATGTCTAGACAATACATCTTTGGACACCAGCAGCGGCCATATGTGTGTGTGTGTGTATATATATATATATATAGAGGGCCGCCGACAAAGGAATCCCCTCAAAGCAGCGACCCGTATACAAATATATATATATATATACACATATACACACACACATATATATATATATAAGGCCGCCGAAAAACACGAGTCCTCTCAGATACGACAGCTATAGAGCTCGAGACAGTACAATCGGTCGGCATGCTATAGAAGCTGTGTCTGAAAAAAAAAAAATCTCGCACAAACAAGCCATGCTATTACAACTCTATCACTCTATCCAACAGGCTTTGCAATTGCAGGCTGCGGCTGCGGGGATGTTTTTTTGCGACACAGCCAGCAGAGCTTGACTTTGCTATGCAAATTAACGGCCCAAGCAACGGATTGCTTGAATTCTGAATTAGAGTCATGCAGCGGCTGCGACAGCCGGGGTCTCTCAAAAAACTACACAACCAGCAGGCCAAGCCCGGTCGATGGGCCTCCGCTGAACACAGCGACGAGGAAAGGATCTACGGCTGCAGATGACAGATGCAACCGGGATCTGAAAGTGATCATCCTGCTTCTCTTTCGCTTAAAGGTTTCGGTTTCAGGGTGTAGTTTCGGGTGCGGCAGGAGTGACTCTTTCAGTATCCACGGTTCTTCCAGCAGCAAACCGTGCAGTACGGGCGCCAGCGGCACTTGGAACAGCCTTTCGCGAAAGCCTTGAGCACCTTTGGCGGCAAGGTCTTGAGGAACTTCTCGCGGTCCTCGGAGCTTGTGTAGCTGCGCTTCTCCTTCTCAGCAGGTTTCTCGCCCCCCTTGCCGTGCTTCTGCTGCTTGGTCGTCTTCTGCGAGGCGGGCTTCTTCAGCTGCTGGGACGTCTTCTGCGAGGCGGGATTCTTCTGCTGCTGCTTCTGCGAGGCGGGCTTCTTCTCCTGCTGCTTCTGTGAGGCGGGCTTCTCCTGCTGCTTCTGTGAGGCGGGCTTCTCCTGCTGCTTCTGCGAGGCGGGCTTCTTGTCCTGCTGCTTCTGCGAGGCGGCCGCCGGAGGCTCTTCCTTTGGCTCGTCCGTAGCCTTCTTCGCCTTGGCCGCCGGAGGCTGTTCCTTTGGCTCGTCCGTAGCCTTCTTCGCCTTGCCGCCGCCTTCCTTTGGCTCGTCCTTAGTCTTCTTCGCCTTCCGGAGCTCGGCTAGCTCGGCCACACTCTCCAGCAGACTCCTCTTTCGAACCAGCTTCGGCTCCTCCACCGGAACTTGCACTTCCGGCTGCACAAGCTGCTCCTGCACAGAGTCCTGCAGTGCCACGGGCTCCGGAACGAACTCCTGTGCTGCAGGAGGCCCTCCAGCTTCAGGAGAAGCCCCTGCCCCAGGAGTCACTGCGGCTTCCGGCAAGGGCACCTGGGTCTGCAAGTCCTGCAGCGGCTGCACAGAGGAAGTTCCCGGCAGCTCTGGCTGCAAGCGGCTCAACTGCCGCTTCTTGCGCTTGGCACAAACCAAGTCCGAGTGGTTCGTCCGCAAGGGCACACAAGCCAGCAGAGCTGTGAAGTTCTTCCACTCTGCAGGGAAGACGCTGGGCTGCAAGGGCTTCTGCTGGAAGAAGGCGTTCGGGGCCTCGAGGTAGCACGGGTCGCACGGCAGCTCCTGCAAACCGATAACCTTCACGGTCTTCTTGCCGACCCTGTCCAAGTAGGCACGAGCCCTGCTCTTGCACTTCAAGAAAAGGTCGTGAGAGCTGGCTGGCTGCAGCAGTTGGGTTCGGTTTTGGTAGTTCACCAGAACCGTCACCGCTGCCAAGGTTGGCTCAGAAGGGCTGTGAAGTCCTCGCTCCGACAGGAAGGCCATGACCCTGTTCGTCTTGGCCTCTGCACACTCTTCCTCCTGCAACCACTGAACCAAACTGCTCGGCAAGTAGTGGAAGAGGTGCACCCAGTTCTGCTGCGGCGCCCTCGGAGCTTTCAACACGAACCCTGTCTGCAGTGCCGCCACCAGCACCTCCTTGTGCTGGTCCTGTAAGCCGGACTCCGACACTCGCTTCTGGAAGTCTTCTCTCTCGAGGCTTCCCAGCCCTGCACTGCCCAGGATCAACTCGGTGACCCTTTTCACGTGGGGCGGGAGCAGTGGCGAGTCCGGGCCAACGAGCGGCACCAACGTCAACAGGCCTGTCAGGTGCGAGGCAGCCGCCATGCCCAAGGTCCAGGAGAGCCCTTCTGCAAGCTTGGAGCTGCAGCACTGCAGGCACTTCGGCAATGACCTGCAGGAAGCGGATGCAAGCCCGTCACAGCCCGCCGATGGATCCAGCGAACGACAACATGCCCTGAACGACATGGAGGCTGAATGATCTGTGTACATATATGTATATATATATATAACATATATATATATATATGCACTTTTATGTGTATATATATATATATATACTGAAAGATGATCTGTATATATATATATATATATATTTCTATTAACATAATCCGCTTGCCATCCGCCGTATAGATTCCAGCGAACAAAATCTGCAAGCGGACCAAAGGTCCGTCCTTCACCATCATGCCATTCCTCCTACAAAATCCTGCACGTGCAAAGCTTCGTCTTTTTGCACAACAACACGGACGATTGCATGCTGCAGAGGCCAGGCACCGTCACAATATGTATATATGTATACACACCCCTGTTCCTCAGTCCATCTCCTCCAACGAGAAGGAAGAGCCAGACTTGGAGTCGCCTGCCTTGGTTCCGCCACTGCCTTGCCTCGCTCGAGCTTCTGCCTCTGCAGCCAAGGCTTCCGCTCGTTCTTGGCAACGGTCAGAGTGTCCGACAGGGCAGAGCTTGCAGCAGCGCCGGTGAGGAGGCTCCACCAACCGCAGACAGCCACCAGAAAAGCAAACCGTCACCGTGTCGCCCACACGGCTTCGTCGCTCCTGTCGGCGAAGGCACCCGGCGGAGTGTCCATGCGGACAGAACCGGCAGCAGTGTCCAAACTTCCCGGTCACCACACAGCTACACTGGGGGCTTTTGCAGAAACGAGGCATTGCTCGCGAGCCGGCATGTACCTCGTCAAAGAAATGTTTGCTGCCCGATCAGCGAACTGATGCACATGTCCGCCGTCGATGATCTATATATGCACACTCTGCACAGGGCAACCCAAAGAGCCGCCCAATGTGTCTAGATTGCAGGCAAAATGTGCTGGGGGAATTCACACGGCAAGCCAACGAGCCGCCGAATCTGTTGAAAACGCATGCAACCCGCGTATCAGCCAGGACCAATTTATGCAGCGATTCCCAACCGCCACACTCTCATGTTTTTTCTCGTTTTAATGGCAAAATTTTCGGTCTGCTATCTTTTTTTATCTTTGTTCTAAGTTTGTTATCTTTTATTATCTTCCAAACTATCTCCGCTATCTTCGATCAAAAAAGATATATCTACTTATATCAACTTGGATGTTCGGGTATCTTCGCCCGAAGATAGATCTTTTACTATCTTCACAAACAAGCTGTTTATGCTTTTGACCAAAAGATGTATCTACTTATATCTCCGGGCGACCGACCGTGTAGAGTCCTAAAGCCGCTGTCCCCTGTAGTCCCATGCAGCTGGCTAGACCGCAATTTCCCGAAACTCTGTGGAAAGGAGGACACCGATCCGAAAGGACTAGAGCATCTGACGAACACGAGCAAACCACTCTGAAGGCATTGGAGCGGTTGAGAAAGAACTAACAACTCGAAGGGAACACGAGAAGATGACAAAAGAAGCAAACCGCTCGGGCACGACCGGAGCGCATAGAAATAACGAGCATCCTGCTCAGAAAGTATATGAGGAAAGGGAGTAGACCGCTCTTTCTCGACTGGAGCCTTGGAGAAACAGGAGCAAGGCCCTCGAAACGGACTAGAGTGACAAGAGTACCTGAGAGAAGATAGGAAACCGCTCGAAAACGAACAGGCTATGCGACAAAAAGAGAGAACCGCTCCAGTGATTCAAGTGCCAATAGGGTCACTAGAGCGTCTGAGAGCCAACGAGCTAACGGTTCAACCGCCCGCAAGGGATTATATAGAGCACTTGCGAAAAGGAGTAAAGCGCCCGAGAAGGATTAGAGCGTTTGAGAAGCGTAGCACAAAAGCAATGCGAGCTTTGACG